GACTTAAGGGGAAATGCCAAGGCTTTCAAGTTACTAAGTGAATGTTCTGTGCAGAGAGAAGAGAACATGTTTTGGGGTGCATGGTTATCCCCCCTCCCAGCCTGGAAACGGCCCTCATCCATAGCCCCTTTAATCACAGCAGGGAAAGCTCAGACATCCAGGTCTGGTCATTCCCTCCCCAAACCCGTCCCGTGTCCCTCCCCCAGCCACCCCCTCCCCCCTGCCCCCACTCATCAGAATAGGGGTAACTCACTAACCAAGGCCAAAGCATCCATTGGCTGCCCACAATGATCAATGAGCTCAAAAACTGAAATTAAGAGACAAGGTGGTAGTCATCAGGGGGCTCTGGAGCTAGACCGCCATGCAGAGGCAATAGCAGAATACAAGTCACCATGAACCAAAGTCACCGGGAAGTAGTAACCGTCAGTGAACAGAAGAGCTGGTCAGCAGGGGAGGAAGCAGAAGCACAGGGAGATGCAGAGACAGGCCACAGGAGGCAGAGAGATCTAAAGATTCCCCCAGGCGAACAACCCACCACCCAGAGAGACAGCAGGGGACGGACCCATCCTGGCTCCCAGCTCTCACTCCCACAGGAATGAGGCCTGCTCGTCTTCATTTCCTACCTACGGGCGTCCACGAGATGGCCTGTCAGAGCCTCACAACCATTTCCCCCTTTTCTTCCAGGTGGGCTGCAGTTTTTTGCACCCACAGAATCTAAAAAGCAGGGAAAGTTTACCACCAGGAACGATTTGGCCTCCTGGGAGTTCTGCTGACTGGGACGGGCACTTCCTCCTCCCACCTGCTCAGCCCCCAGTCAGCACGTATGGAGCCATGAACATTTCTAGCCCAACCGCCCAGCACAGAAAGCCAACACTCCTCCTGTTCACAACGGAACTTTCCTAACTAGCCTCACACAGGTCCTCTCACTGGAAACCTCCTCCACTTCGCATCCCAGTGGAGCCCAATGACTCAGCACTCACAACTGCCGTGGTGTATAAGTACCAGGTTTGATCCAATTTATTTTTAAAATCTTTTTGGTTGTTTAATAAATGCAAAATTCTTTAATAGGAATTAGCAAAATCAGAGATGAATTAGAAATGGTGTCAGCCTTCAGGAAGCTGGAGAAAGTGCTGGAAGAACACATGGGAGAGAGTACTTTCAACTGCAGGAAGCTCAAGAAGTCAAACTGTTAAGGCAGAGTTTCCAGAGAGAGATGGGGAGGAGAGGTTCCAGGCACTTGCAGGCAGGGCTTAGAGGGTGGGGAGCACATGGTGGCCCCGTGTGGCTGGCACCCTAGAATGGGAGCAGGCTCAAGAAAGGCAGGTGGGGCTCGGAGGAGAAGGCCTACAGGGCCCGTTAAAGAGCTAGGCAGGCCCCTGAGCAGGGAGTCTCACAACCAGGCTTCAGGCTCCATCTTCTTTGCATTAAATCTCCTACAGTTACCAGCCCTGAGACGGACAGCGCAACACACTGAAGGCAGCTCTGGAAAACAGTTAGTCTCTAATGATTAACTCAGATAAACTGTGTACACATGAGAAGAGAACTGTCCCCACCACTTGAGTGTAAGGGCTTGTGAGCAAGTTCAGTCGGTCCTTCACCTCTCCTCACAACAGAACTGTCATTCTCTTGCCATCTTGGGTGCTCAATGTCACTTGATCTAACAATAGTGAAAACGCAAAGCACAGCCTCTTCAGCAAGTTAGGAAACGTCTCTTGCATGTTTGGAAATTTGTGCTCCTTTTCTCTTTTTAAGTTTTACTGGATATAACCAGCCCTTACAGAAGAAACTCTGTTCTAAGCTGATGTCAGTTACCAGAGAGAAAGAAGGAAGTCCTGACCATTGTCACCACACCCCAGATAAAGGACAATACTACCTTCCAAGTATGTAGCCCTTAAGAATGCACACAGAGAAGCAGCATTACGTGCATCCTCTAAGTTAGGTACGACAGGATGCACTCCTCATGCAGCTCCAGACAGGAAAGGGATGCAGCTGTGCCCCGAGAGCTGTTACACATCCACACACGCCGCAGGGAGGGCGGAGGACAATGGAGTGAGACGGGGCAGTCCAGCACAGGCCAACCGTCAAAGCTGCTCATAGAATGGAGCGCCCCTTTCAAACTAGGCAGGCCTCACAAGGGAGAGATGGGCCAGGCCCAGCGAGGCTGTAGAGTGGCAGCCACCAGCTGGCCTGGCAGCCCAGGGCCTGTGGCCTGGGTCAGGCTTCCCTACACGGCAGTGTCCAATGGCCCTCGCCAAGTCACCAACATTCTCTAGGCTTCACATTCTTCGGCTATAAAATAATAACGCTGCCAACATGTCTCCATCTTCGCCATCTTGCCAAAACAAAACAATCTCCTTTTAGCCCTGTGGCCTTCTTGACTGCCGTCTTCCCCAGGGAGTCTGCGGGGCACTGAGGACTGGCCCATGGTGTGCGGACACACTCTAGGGCAGACCTCAACCCACCCGAGACACTGCAGGAAGAGGGGACCCTAGTGACTCCTCCTAGTCATCCTGATGCCTTGTAGGTATACAGGGCCATCCTGGCTACAGCTGCCCCCAGACCCAGAGGCCAGCCCAGCAGGGTCACTGTGTGGGACAGGCCAGGCTGCAGGACCACAACTGCACTTGTAGAGTGACTGGGATCTGGCAGAGAATGATTTATTCATCCAGATTCAGAATTCACATAAGCCACAGTATTGTTGGTTTTCCTTTTTCTTTTTCTTAAAATTTTTAAGCTGTTAAATTAGCATGCATTTATTTCCTCCACAAGCATTTTTTTTCTATTGGGGAAAATAATTCTTCTCCTGCCTACCTTTCTGTCTGCCTCCTGTTTTCAGTTGTCTATTGGCTACTAAAGAAAGAAACATCTTTTCATTTCAACCCAAGAAGCCTTGCAGCTGCTCTCGGAGGCTTTGGGCACTGGCATGGATTTCTGCAAACATGTATGCATTTTCTCTTCTACCCTACAAGGCAATCTTCAATCTGAAAGCTACTATACACCTCCCAAGTTAATCAGCCAACCTCAGAAACAGGGGGAAGAGACCAGTTCCGTGAAGAACTCTGCCATCTGTACAAAGACATCCCAGTGCCACACAAAGCCACCTATCTGAGCACTTCACCACGATGGAAAGATGGCTTGTAGACCTGATTTTCCCTACCCGCATAGAGGCCAGGCTGGCGGGCCCTTGTGGTCCTCAGGAACCTGTTATCACATAGAGGCTAGAAAGTCCTGAGCCAGTTACAGATGAAGCTGGGAGTCACATTGCCCACACGGGATTCTAAACCTGATTCTATTGTGGCCACTGAGGACCCTACTCTAATCTCTCATCTAGGGATAGAGTTGGGTCCCACTTAAGACTGAGAGCCCCACATCGCCTACATAGCACCTTCACAGGGACTCCAGGCCACTCTCTTTATATCGTCGGAAACTGAGCCTTCTGCTTCTCAACAGGTGCCACAATGCTGGGAAGAATGAGCTGATCCCACGAGCATATATTAAACACACTGTGTGCCGGCACTGTAAGAAGCTCTGTAGGAAATATAACAGAAGGAGCAGACAAGGGACAGCCTTAGCACCTGAAACCCAAGGTGGAAGGGACAGATACGCTCAGCACAAAACTAGAAGCAGTGGAGGCAGGATAAAATCAAGCACGAGTCTACGCAGTAGCAGCTCAGGCTGTCCTAGCCTTCAGCCTGCTGGTCCATCACACCCGCTTCCAAAATCCACGGTGGGCACAGTTCTCAGGGAAAATGGCTGAAAAGACAGTATGCTCAAAACAGTAGAGGACGCAAGTGCGACTTCTGAAGGGCAAAGTTGAAGAAAAGCAGCTTCAAGTCCTTCTCCATCCCGGGGCCCTTCCTGGAGCTGGCCCCATCAATGCTAACCCTGCCCCTCGCCAGAGAAGTGCTCCTGACTAGGCAACAGAAACCTGCCTCTACCACCCTGGACAGGAAGAGGGGCTGGCACCTCTGCTTTCACTCAGTAACTAAGGTGGTGAATGCTCTCAACTACAGGAACAAAATCCCTCCCGTTTTTGCCCGGAAGCTGTCAACCAAGAAGGAAGATCCTTTCTGTGAAAAGGTGACTTCTAACCCTGGAGGGCTGGTTCATTCCCATTAGACTTAATTTACCCCATTTTTGCATGCTTGTTTGTTCCCCTTAAAGATACGCCTCTGCTTGCATTTGTTTCCTTGGTCCATTTCTTCCTGGCTACACACAGTTACATAACATGCTCCATATGGGCAGAGCCCGCCTTCCCCAACCTGAGGCTGACCCCGAGGCGGCACTAAAGACAACAGTTTTATGAAGCGATGACAAGGGTTTCCTCCAGGTTCAAACCGTGTGGATCAGAGTCGCAGGGCTGGTCTCCTGCACTGGCTCTGTGGAGAGCTGCTGAAATCCCCTCTTTTTTAGCCCCTCTGTTTCCCTAGCCAACCCACCCTCTTTTTTGTTGTAAGAAAACACTCACAGATGCAGCTGTATTCAGATGGGATACGCACATTGGTGCCAGCGAGTGTGCAAGGGAAAGACGGGTTGGAAGCCAATGGAATTATATGAATACACAAGAAGAAAGGTTTTCTTCTTCACAACAGCAGGGAATATAGACCCCTTTCAACTCTGTAATGTACCAAATATTGAAACACGTTAATAAGAAAGCCAAATGTACTAGGAACGTGCGCCTGACATAAACTAGCTTTCATAGAGTTTTAAAATGACTCCTAGCTGAGGCAGTACGAAGTTTACAAGGGAACAAAGAAGCCGAGTATTAAAATGCTTCGTTTAGCATGATAGAATTCATGTACTCACCACTATTTAGTACGCCCGGGCCCCGTGCTAAGTGCTGCTGGAACATCCCAAGGAGCCCGATGGAAAGAAGCATTCTCGTCTCTGACCCTCTCCCTCCCTGGTCCAGCCGAATATAAGGAGTTGAAGGAGTTACTTACACACCCACTGCAAACACCCCAGTGGAAAGAAAACGGTGGGTTCACGTGGAAGCTTACCTCGCCTCAGAAGTTCTGGAAGCTGAAGCACTCTGGGTCTGTCCGTGGCCTCTCGGGATGCGGTGGCTGTTTTCAGAGTCACTCACGTGTCCCTTCCCCAGGGACTTCCCACTGTGTGGGAAGGCTGCAGGGCCATCCTCACATCCATTCAGCAGGCCATGCCCAGCTCTGGCGCCTCTTCTTGCTTGCTGGTGCCCCTCATAGTTATCCTCGTGTGGTGCTGGGAGATTTCTTGACAGTTTGTATCCGTGAGAAATCAGGAGGTCTTCTACGCTGTACATAATGCACACACACTGGCCTCATCAAAGCGCAGCCGCTGGGACGGTCGTGGTGACAGGACCCACGCTGAGGGGACAACAGAGAGCACTGGTGAGGAGTCACTGGTCCTCCCTGGAACTGCACCTGGCACCTCCTCCTCCCTCTGCCCCGACCAAACCAGACCCTGCTCATGAGCACAGCACGCGCCTGCACACACGGTGGAGAAACGTGGAGTGCTCCACCTGAAATCACTCTCCATCTTATTCAAGTAGAGAGGGTGGATGCAGCACGGGCTCTGCAGGATATGGTGGTAATTCTGGGGACCCCACCCTCTGATGGCTGCCTTGTAGAACAGTCCGGAATAGAATAGTGTTTAAGCAATGAAATGAGTAACAGTGTCCACCATCCCCTCGCCTCAGTCATCTGAAAACAGCAGGCATGAGAGAGGACAAAATAAATACAGACTCAGAAGCTGCAATTACAACCCCATGTTTCTAAAAGGAGAAACGACCAGTGTCCAGCTTAATCTTATACTTCCCTCCTTTCATCTTGTAGACATACCTTTTGCTCTAAAAGGGCAGAGTGAAATCTTTAATCAACTCACAGCCATGACACACTTGAGCGAAGCAATCTAGATGGGGAACCTCCCCAGGGAGGTCAACCAGCTGCTGAAAACAGATCTCCAGGCTTTAGGCTCATGAGTAAGCACACGACACCCTGGTCCAGCACACACCCCCACCCACCGCACAATCCCAAACTCCTCCTTTCTACACGAGACTTTAAAGAATCAAATTTGTCCCCTAGGAATCTGGGGGAACGTTTTGCATCTCTGAGCCAAGGGTGTCCACGTCCAGATGCTGCCATGGTGCATTAATTCAACAGCAGCACCTTCCCTGAGTAAACTGCCCAGAGGTGACAGAACCAACACAGAAGAATAAAAGCGGACAGGAACCCACTTGAGAGCACAAGTGTGATAGTGGTGGGGCCGCCATGTTTATTTTTACACAAGAGAATCTTCTTTCCTATGTCTTCACATTGTTAACAGAGTGGAAGACAATTTGGGCAGACAGATCTGCTGCTGCGTCCCCGAAGGGTGTGACGCTGGCCTGGGAGAGAAGCGCACAGAAGCTGGGCCTGGAAGAGCTGGGCCAGCTCCAAGCCACTTCGCTGGGGACAGTGGGCGGAAATAGCACCGCAGCAGCCCCTCGAACAATGGCCAGGAAATGCCTGCTGGCCCATGTGCAGGTGACGGGGAGATGCATGTCCTTCCTGTCAGTGGGAATTCTTACTGGGGCTATCACACGATTCTGCTGACTGTGCAGGGCCTCACTCTTCATCACATGCTAGATTATGGCAGCAGCAAAGTCTTGGTTGTCAGCACGGAGAGTATCCATGTCTATAATTTTCCACCAGGTACCTACGTTTTATGGAAGGCTGACTAGCTCTGGCTGTTACTGTATGAGCAGAAAATTCTCCATAGCAACTCTGCCATTCCTGACACTCCTGCTATCTGTCTTTTAAGCAGCTCGACAACTCGGCTCAGCCACTTAGATGGAAATGGAAGGCCCAGAGAGGCAAGCATTTGTCATTTGATTCAACTGAGTAAGTCACTGGGCTAGAGACCGCAGAGGAAAGAGATGCCATTACAAACAGAGGGCTATGGGAACACAAAGGCAAGGCCATGAGGGCAAAGTCTTCGTTTTATTCAGTGGTACACCCCCAGCATCTAGGAGACAGTATGCTTTCAATAATAACTGATGAATGAGTGCAAAACTGAGAGAAAGGGACATTTGAGCTAGGTTTTGAAGAATGATGAGGAGTTCTCTAGATAAACTGCATGTGCATTGTGTATGAGAGGGGGAACAGGCATTTGAAATAGATTTTGGATACAATTATCCCAAGAGTAAAGAAATGACATAGAAACAGGATCCTGGGAGCCTAGAGCAAGGTCCCGAAACTCACCAGCTCAATGTTACACATCCAGACAGCACCACAGCTGAAGTTAGAATTTAGGTCTATGACACTCAAGTTTCTCTCTCTTACCACGTCAGGCTCTTTAAAAGCAAAGCCAAGTGCACTGCTCTCCAACTGGCCATCCAACATGCAGAGCGACTGGCCAGTGTCCACCGCAGGGCTGGCTGTGCTGCAGCCCACTGTTACAGTGGTAAGAAGAAAGGACCCTCACAAAACATGCATGTGGGTCATTTTCATACTGGAGTTAGGTACCTTGGACCATTATGGCTAGGTCTGCAAGCAAATCATATTTAGCAAACCCTTAAGTGGCATGACAACACAGGCCAAGCCATAAAAGCCACACGTCTTTCAAAAAAGACTCAAATTCGTAAGAGCCATAACTTGACCTTATAGGGCTCAGGTCAGAAGTGTACTGATCCTTGGAAACTCCTAACTTGTTTCGTCTCACAGAGGCCAGTAGCTTGTGGCGGGCAGGGGTAGGAAACACACGAGCTTCAGCAAGCAGGACTTGGAGCCGAGTGGGAGAGGTGAGGAGAGGAGTGGTGACCCGCAGGCCCATAACCCAGTGAGTGTTCCTAGCCCCCTCCACCCCACGGAGGACTCCTCTCCCTCAGCCTTGCACTCTTCACCTGCTTCATCCCAACTGAGAGCCTAGGCTTCTACCTCACCTCCACACACACGCGAAACCTCACCTGTCCCCTACACAGACTTCGGAACAGTCACAGTTTCTCTAACCCCTATCATACTCAGCCTACTTTCCTGAGCATCCTGATCTCAAGATGGAATGAGCTGCCTCAAGAGGTGGCAAGCGCCCCATCACTAACACATCAGTTACACAGGCCATCAGGAGGGAGTGCTGACGTGCTGAGGAGGACACTGGCATCCAGTGAGTTGCTGGACTAAAAGCTGGTCCTTTCAAATTTTCTTTTCAATCCTGAGATACCAGCATTCTAATCAACAGAACTTAATTTGTCACCCACACCAACTCAAAGGGTGGCTGCAAACAAGCATATGCCAAAATCTGATATCAACGTAAATTATAACATTAGATTTCACAACTTGGAGAGAGATGTGTGAGTTAAAACAGCCCAGGATCAGGTGCGGTCCTCATCATCCCAGCACTAGTGCCGCCCCCCCAGGCCCAGCCAGGACACCTGGAGCAGTCATCACCTGCACCACACCTCAGTTTTCTGATCTGCAAAATGGCAATGCCACTATCTTTCCACTTCACCAGACTCTTTTGAGGGCCAAATAAGAATAAAGAAAAGTGTAAATCACCATGCAAATATGACTGTGGATTTACTATGCGATGATGGCTCCAGTTTGTCTCTGAAGGGTTACTTGCCTCATGGAAAGATTTCACTTAGTTATTAATTTTCACCATGTAGTTTAGACCAGTTCCTAATTCCTTTTGTATGAATTGGGATCTAACTCTTGATTTCCAAAGTCATATCCGCTTTATATCACCCACATCCTTGTCTTTTGTGACTGGATACTTCAACCTCCATCCAAGTCACTTAGAACAGTAAGTGTTATTTCATAGAGTCCAAAACATTAATTCTGAATGCCCATGACGCACCAGGCACTGAGACTATAATAATGAATAAGATGTATTCTTTGCCCTTGAGAATCTGTAGACAGCTGGAAAACTGGCAATTAACACAGCGTATGCATGGATTAGTGATGGGAGCCTGCCACCTCTCCCCAGTGTCACAGCACTGCAACAGGGATAAGGACAGGATGAGACAGAGGGACCCTGACCCAGTCTCAAGAGGTCAGGGAGGCTTCTGGAAGATTGCTTCTAAGCCAAACAAATCCTCTACCTCAAAGCAGACCTGCACCGTGAGGTACCCTGCAAGTATGCTTCCCAGCCAGTTCATTGAAGAATGCTGTTCCTTCACTACTTTATCAGTTTGTTGCCTTGGATCAAATACACATAGTGCACCATGTAGGAAGAATGGCCCAGAGTGTGCAGGTGCCCAGATACCAACTCAGGTAAGGAAGGGACTTCTAGCATTGGCTGGGCCAGGACACAATCACAAGAGACAAATGAGCCCACTTTAAATAGCATTTTCATTTTATGAATATCTAAACACCACTAATGCAGAGGAAACATTTAACATAACAACAAACACGTTACCAGACAGTCCGTCAAGGCACAGCTGCCTGAGAGTGGCGAGTCCCACGCTGAGGGGTTCTCAAGCAGAGGCTGAGTGAGTGATTTGTAAACTTTTTTGTTTTTACAGCAACCCACTGATGGTATGTGCACACACATCAATCAGAACTTTAGAGGAAAAAGAGTCACCCTCACAGTCTAATATGTAGTATTTTCTATTCTATTTCACTTTTCACAAATGCTGCTCACCACCCACTGAATTCAGGATGCACTAATCGGTCAAGACCTATGGTCTGAAAAGCACTGATGTGGAAATCACTCCTGCTCTGGTCAGGATACTGGGCTATATGACCTCCGAAATTCTGTCAAGTTCAAAGATCCTATCAACCTCTGAGAAACTCCTTGGTCTCACAGGTTCATTGCTCTGTTCTCAACAACAAATACAGCTCTTCTAGCCCATTAAAAATTCTCTTTCCAAGAAATAAAGTCACAGCTACAAAGTCAAGCTACTTTCCTATACTCAAGAGCATAAAATGAAAAGGAATAAATCTCCTTAAGGAAAAGCCCTGTCTTCTGCTTCCTTCCTCACTCTACCCATGATCTCCTGGGGGCTTGGTATCCGAGCCTCGGAATACTTAGTGCCCGGCTGACAGGTCTGTCAGCACCACGGAAGCACAGGGGGAAGCCGCAGGTCCCTCAGAGGGACGGGGTCTGCCGAGCTGCCTTTTATCCCTCTCTCTTTGGTTTGAGAATGCCAAGAAGCAGCTTTCTGCTTCTTTTGATTTCACTATTGTTCTTTTCATATTTCCCCCTATTCTCTGACCCATATATTCCTAGACTAAGCCCATCTTTTCAACGATAAAATTTATAAAGCAGTTTAAAAACTCTACCACCACAATAGAAACGGACAGCCTGGTAAAAGGCACACATCCTAACGGATCTCTGTCTCTGGGCAGCGCGTGTTCGGCTGCTGCTTCTCATCTCAGGTGGAAGCACT